TTTGTCCCAAACCCAAATTCAAGAACTGAGCGAATGTATATTCCATCTGACGCTGAAGAAACTATTGCGTGTAACTCTGCTTCACATGAAGATAGGCTAATGATCTTCTGTGCGCTGCTGCTTTTGAACAATGGACAACTGTTCAATGCATGGAATCCTCCTTGGCTTTCTGTGGCTTTTGTTTCCACTCCAATCTGAACCTGTCAGATTGCTTCTAAGCACCAGTAGCTCTCTCCTTTCTTGACATAGCCTTCTCCAGACAGTAGTCCCAAATCTTCTTCAAGTATCCAAGGAACTTCTTCAAACGACTGTTGGATTTGACATTCTTGAAGCCAATTGCTTCACTGTAAATGCAACATCATACCTTGCCTGGCATAGGTGGATCCCTGAACCGACAATACTTCTGAAATGGCCAATCTTCTCTCGCCCGTGCAAGACTTCTGGTCTTGTCTTTTATCTGGATTGAGTTGTCTGATGGTAGTTGCTGAAGTTGATCTTCTCAACCTGCTCTCCATAAGCTTTCAGCATCTGCTGGATGTAGTTACCTGGTTGGATCTGCCATAGTCCATCTTTCTCTAGTTGGTACTTTCTCTTCAGCAAATTGAACTCATCACCAATCATCACAATTTGCTCACACTGGTGTCAAACCTGTCTTGAATCTTTGGAAAAACAAATTTCCTTGATGTACTTTGAACAACCAGTGAAAACCAAGTCATCCACATGTATTAAGATGATATCCTTCTCATCTCTTCCTAGGCGTGGACACTCAGCACTGAACTTGTAATTGAATTCCTCGGTCAGGTGCCCTGTCGAAAAGCCAAACCATGCTTTTGCTCCAACTCTTTGTCCAGGTAGATTTCTGTTCACCAAGAAATCATCTCCTCTCAAGTTCATCTTCAGCGGCTTCTCCGGTGGAACTTGCAAAAATGCATCCTTCACATCAAGACATCCTAGCATCTGGGAAACGCTCCTTCTCCCTCTCTTGCCTCTCCTTCTTCACTGACTCCCTGCAAGAATATTGTGGGTAGTTCAGTGTGTGTCCTGAAGTCGCTGATGAGAACATGTCATCCCTTTCTCTAAAGGAAAACAATTTATCTTACGACTAGTCTTGCTCTTCTCTTCCACCTCTTGCTTGTTGTTCCATCTCCGTGATGATATGGCTTCTTTCTCCAGTCATGCGCATTGCGTGCTGTAAGGAAACCAATTCCTTCTCCGCTACCTTATTCTGGTCTCTCTAGCGCTTGCATCTTCTGGAGTCTCTTTTCTTCAAATTCATCAGCCACTCTATCAATTCATTCTTCTAGATCTTCCTCTGGCTCATGCTCTCCATCTCGCCACAAGCATTCAGGCCCATTCACTCACTGCATCGCCTTCTTCTTCTTCTTTTTCTTCTTCTTCAACAACTTCTTCTGCAACTGGGGCTAGTTCTTCACCTACATGATAAAGATTTTCACCTGCAACTTTCACCAAATTAGTCTTGTCTTTCTTGCCTGCATCATCTCATGGCCTGAGCTTCGCCATAGGACTTTCCTCTTCAAGCACATGAAATGCTTCTCTTCGTCTTGATGGCGCTGATGGTGATCTCAATGAAGACAGGAGAGGGGAAATTGGATTGGGTTGTCCTGCTGGCTACGGTGTAGAGGGAAATGCCTTGGCATTCTCAAGTGTCTTCTTGTCTGCAAAGAGAACTTTCTGCTTCTTACTTGGAGTTTCTTCTCTACTCTTCCTTTCACCTCCATCTCTCTTCATTGCCTCCACAGGAATTTCTTCTCTGAATCACTTCCTCCTTCCAAAGCCTTTGCCTTTACTGCTTCTGCGTCCTCGTCCTTGAACTTCACCATCACATGTTCTCGAGGCGTCTGTCTATGCTGCTGGCAATGCTTCTGCTCTCCTTTTGGTGGCAATGGTGCAGCCCCCGGCGTTTGTCTGATGTTCCCATGAGTAAGCATTGAAGCTTTTGTAGATTGGCAAGTATTTGGACTTCTGACACACTTGCTAAGAACTACCTGCGCACCACCTGTAAGTACATAGGTGTCTTGCCTTTCGACTTTTCCCAAGAACAAGCATAGGCGCCATCTTGGTTCTCCTTTGTTGAGACTCTTGATGTAGCCATGAACTGGTTCACCATACTTAGCTAGCAGTCCTTTGTAGCTCTTGCCATATTCATATGGGGTTTCACCCTTCGCTCGTTGAAATCTATTCAACACCCAACTGGCATGTCCCGCTGCCCAGGTCCAAAGTGCATGATCTGATCCTATCTTGATACCTAGCCTTGATTGCGCACCTTCAATGAAACTTCCTGCAAGCTTTCTCACTCTGTCAACAGTCAACTGTGTTCTCTGACAGAAATGAATGATCTCCAAGCTTTGAAGTAATCAATTTGGTTGTCATTCCTAGGATGCGTCGAGCATTGGCCAGCAGCTTGAGGATTTGTATAGGTGATTGCTGAATACCGCAACAAACGACTGAAATCCATCAACTCTCACGCAATAAGACGAAATTGATTCTTGCTTCCCAAGGGCACAACATAAATGTATCCAGTTTGGCTGTCGATTGCAACTAACCAACATACTGCTCTTAGCTGACTTTGTCACTGAATCTCTTGCTCTAGTGTAGCTAAAATCCAAGTTTACCCCAGGTATGTTCCTCTCTTTACTCAATCTGTTCTCTCATGGCGGTCTGGACGCGCTCGATGCTCAATGCACTCCTCACACCAAGTGGCATATGGCATGTGTGTCAACCTGTGCCTTGCCTGAATTGCTTGTCTACATCCATTGGGCTCATTTGTAACTGTCTTCTTCTTTCTTGTCTTCGACATCCTAATCTTTTCAAATGCCTGTCCCAGCTCTTTCTTTCTCTCTTGTTCTGAAGTTTCTTATACCCTAGTGCGAAAAGTCCAATGTCTTCTGGTTGTGCTGGCTCATAGCTGAAGATTGCGATTGAAGGAATGACTGCATCATCATCATCATCATCATCAGTGAAATGCCAATCAAGTTCATCCTTTTTCATCATGCTGTCACAATATTCAGGCATTAGCCATCTACATCCTCTTCTCACCAAAGTGGTTCTCATCAAGTGAACCTTCCGATCCACAAATCTTGAAGTCAATAAACTTCCAACCTGCTCCCTTTTCCAAAGCTTCAGGTGCTTGCGCTTCCATGCAGCTTTCACCTTCATGTCGAATAACTCTGATGCGACCTTGAACGGTCAAAGAGCGGTTTTGCAAGTTGAGTGGCACCTTCAAGTCACCGTTCTCCAAGATTTGCTCTCGACCATTGATCCTCCAACCTTGTTCCATCAGCCTTCGATAGCATAGTATGGGCTGATTTACCTTTGAACTGAAGATCACATTCTCTTTGAGCAGGACTTCACGTCCATCAACGTCACGCAAAGACATTTCAACACTTTTCGCACCCCCGGTGGGTGTATGGTTTGTAATTTGGTCCTTGTGCTGAATTCTAATTCACGTTCACCATAATCTGCCATAGCCAAAGGGACAATGCTACATCAGCTCCACTGTCAATAATGATGGCCACATCCTCAATCTCTCCCCCAAGTCTCCGCACCATTGGTTCATCGTCCGAGATATCAATCTCCTCAAACACTCGGATCTCTGGCTCATCAGCATCATCATCGTCATCATCATCATCGTCACCGTCATCATCTCCAATGTAGAAGTGAATCACTTGATTTCAATGGTCTTCTATTTCATCATCCTTCTCTCGCACATCAAAGATGATTGGCTCGCTGTTCTCAAGCTGGTTTGGTCTCAGTGCTGAACTACGCTGCTGGCTAACATTGGCTTGTTGGACCAACTGTATGAGGAGTCACTGATGCTCCTCTCGAAGATGAATGGGTTGGATCATTTGCACCTGTTGAATATTGTTCCTCCAACAGTCTCGAACAAGATGTCCTAGCTTTCCACAAGTGTATTTACCATGTTGCCACACCTTTACCTTTCTGGTCTCTTCCTTTGCCTTTACCCTTGTGATCACCTTCTTTTCCTTTCTGATCTCCTTTCCCTTTCTTCCCTTTGCCTTTTGCGTCTTTACCTTTGCCTTTACCTTTCTGATGGTCATTCTTGCCCTTCTTACCTTTGCCTTTGGCATCTTGGACTCGATCATTGTCCATTGGCATGGGTCCTTGCTAATCTGTTGCTACTATCGAAGTAGCCCATTTCTGCTGAGATCGATCCCACTGCAACACTTGTGCCCTCAAAGTTTTTGATTGCTGAACATTGTTGCCAATTGTCAAACTCAAGTATGACTTGAGTTGCCCACCTACACATCTCAAAAGAATAGCAGATTTCAACTCTTCTTGCATAGCCGTCCCTGCCTTGACCGTCTCATCAAACCCATTGGAGTCCTCCACAGCTTTCACCAATTGCAGTACTCCCTCATCAATGAAGCCAACAATCCATAGAGTTTGATGCACCTGGTCTTCTCCTCTGAGGTTGCCAAGTCCATGTCAAATTTGGTTTGTCATGAATCTCTTTCAAGTCTTTCATGTAAGCCTCATCAGCTGCACTCAAGTATTTCTCAAATACGCATGATCTCTTCTTCTTCTCTTTTTCTTGATGCCTTGATCTCTTCTTCTCGTGACTTATAGTCAAAGATGTTGGGCTTTGCTAAAAACTGTGACCAATCAGTAAAACTGTGACCAATCAGTTCCTGATGACTTCTTGTCTTCAACTGCTTTCTTCACTGCCTCAGCTGCTGATGTTGTTGCTTGCGCGCCCTCTGCTATCACTGTGAGGATTTCCCTGATCTCATCCATTTTTCCTGCGCACTAATGGTTTTGTGACACAATGTACGGGGTACAGAGTGCCGCTCACAACAATTCTCCACCAGTCCAGCTGTTTGGGTTCCAAGGGCCCCAAATCGGCTCGAAATCGCTCCCGGGATCCCAGTGACCTAGGGGCTTTTCTCTTTGGAGCTCAAAGGGGGTTACCCTTATCCTTGCTCCGCTACCATGCGAACTTTTTCCTTGATGCAAAAGGGGCTGCGCAGTGGTCTCATGATGCTAACTATGCTATATACAATGGTATGATATGTATTGAAAATGCAACGCAAATAGTAATTGTGTTTTACGTTTTTTGTTAATATGTTGCATTTTTAAACAGATGTTTATTATTGATAATTGTCGGCTTTGCCGACCACATCAATATTCGATATAACGCCAGCTTTGACGGCAAACGGACAGTTTCCATTCACATCCCAAACCCCAACCCCGGGCTTGCCGGCAGGATATAAAGGACTTGGTGAGGCGTTTTCGGAGGCGGTGGAGGAGGCAGTGGAGGAACAGCATGGATTTGAACTGAACCTGGAACCCAGCCGTGTGCGTGTTGAATTGAATGCGAATGAACAGGCTCTGTGCCCGGAAGCCCGCTGTGGGAGTGTTGAGCGCATCCTCGAATGCCGTGGGGGTGTTGCGCTGAATCCACTGGGTTTGGGACCAAATCCATGATCGCCGCGATCGGCTTCCCGAAGAGCGTGCTACCCGGGTCAATTTCACCATAGACAACAGGGTTGTGACAATATGGAGAGTTGGAATCAATACGGATGTCGTGATGGTAGTCCAGCATCGTCTTGATCCTGTCCAGCTCTGCAATGAAGAGGACAGCCACTGAATCTTTGACGAAGTCGATTGCCGTCTCAGAATTCATCAAGATGACTGGGATCAAACACAGCGTCGCGTGCGACAGCCAGCCATTCACAATGAAAGAAAGAAAGAAACGAACGCAATAACAATCGTTCGGCTGACGGAACGCGGGGAAAGTCATGAGGTAAGGTTTCCATACTTCCCCAAACTCGCCCGTGATGAATGTTGGCTCGAACAGCCGCACCACTGAAGCAATGAAGGCACCCAGCACATAGAACAATATTTGTTTTTCAGTGGCCACCGTCTCTTGCTCAGCTGCTGCCCAAAAGACGACAGCGTACAGTGTAGCCTGGAGGGAGAACGCGGCCAAAGCTTTCGCAATGCTGCCAGAATGCATGTCCGTGTAAGCAGAGGTTGGACTGACTTTTGTTGGGACACCGCGTAGCCCAAACTTGCGGTAGTAGACATAGGAATAGGCTAGGTCCATCAAAGACCGTGCAAGACTGTATGTCAATGAAAACGTCAAGGCCGCACCTGAAGACACCTTTGCCAAACTGAACAAGAACAGGAACGTGCCCACCTGTTCCCAACATGTCCAAACGCTCTTCCGAAGCTCTCCGCTCCGCACCCTCTCGTTGGGCGCGCCGTAAGGATTGGGACAACAGCAAGCCAGAAAGAACCATACGAAGGGCGTCGCGAAGATCATCACCAGCCCCAAGATAAATTGACACTCCTGCACCACCTCGTTGAATTCAGGCTCATCTCTCGCCGCTGATGTGTTGTTCATGAAAGCGGCGTAAAGCGCGTAAATATCCATGATGCGTGCGCTTTGCACGGGCGAGGACAAAGCCAAAAGCCTGAGCCACTCAAGCTTCAGGTTGTGGCGCCTGTGAGAAACACTGTTAGGGTATGTTCAGGCCAAAGGTTGATGCCCTTTGCTCTTAGTAGCTTCTTTGGACATCAGAAGGTCTTTGTTTTCAGAAAAACATGGCACAAAGAAGGCGTTCACTCTACTCACAGCTGTCGCCATTTTATCTCTAGCTGTCGGAGCTGCTGTCCGAACTATCGCTCGAATCACTAGAGCTTGAGGATGATCTGGGCGAGCCGACGTTATCTAGACTTGCGTCGGGGCACGTTTTCGAGAAAGGTTGCATCGGCACCAAGTATCTGACTCCTTTTTCTTCTTCTTCTTCTTCTTTTCCTTCTCATCCTTGAACATGCTCTGAAAGACAAATGCAAAACAAATGCTGGTTCACGGTGCGAGGCCTTTTCAGCTTTTTGCTTCTTCTCTGGGGGCTCAGTAGCTTCTTTCCTGCTGAAACGCAACTGTAGCTCTTTTGGACATCGGACACAGAAGTGCGCATGGCATTGCTGCCCTTGCGTTTCGCAATCTCATTCAGAATTCCTGGGACCAAAGCGCATTCGATCATCGCCTGCCGGTGTAAAGCATAGCGCTGGCACCATGGCATCACAAGACTAAACCATGAAAGCAATTAGGTGCCTTGCTAGTAGTAACAGGTGCCTTACTAGTAGTAACAAGAAGCTATTAATTTAATTTAGATTTATTTTATTTTAATCGGTAGATTTGGGCAAATCCACTCGCAATTAGGTTGGAGGCCATCGCTTCTAGGGAGGCCACCACTATGCGACAAGGCATGTAGATTGACACAAACACAAACAAGAAGCTATTAGAATTAAATTTAAAGTAAATTACTAGTAGCGAACCTTGTTACTACTAGTAAGGCACCTGTTACTACTAGCGTGGCACTTGTTCCTAGTAGCGAACCCAATTTTATCAAGCCCCCTGCCTAGAAATGCATTGTGAGGCACGGCAGGTGCCTGGCAGTCTCTTTCGTACAGGTTTTGAAATGCTTTTGGACGACAGTATTTGTTAGGCCATCGCTATTAGGTTGGTCATCGCGCTTAAAAAAGCAACGTCGTAAACGTCGCTCCTCCTCTTCTAGGAAGGCTTGTTTGAATCGCTTCTGCCGCAACTGTCGGCTGGCTGAAGCGCGGACCTGCGTCGGGAAGATGCGACTGGTTTCAGTCTAACGTTTTGTGTTGAAATTGTTCTTCCTCTTATTCTCTTTACTATTCATTGTTCGTTTTAAACGGCTTTTCCTCTTTAAGCCTGCCTCCCTACTTAATTGAGTAGTTAATGGCGGCTAGTTCGCTACTAGGCTAAGTTAGCTTCTAGTAACTGGACGCAGGATAGCTCACACTTCTTCAAGGAAGCTTTCAGTAACTAATAGCTTGCTCAAAACAACAAAAGGGTGAAGCACGAAATATCGACATCAAACATCAACACCAGTCTTGAAGCGTGAACTGACTGAAAGAAAGTACCAAGCTTCAAACCAGCCACACTGTCCGAATGAAGAAATGACACCGTTAAGAGCTCTGGGTGTCTATAGTTTAGATAAAACAAATATGTCTCCAACCTACTAGCGATGGCCTCCAACCTAATAGCGATGGTACCAATACAATCAAATACACTTAATTTCTTCCTTTCTAATAGCTTCTTGTTACTACTAGTAAGGCACTTGTTACTACTAGCGATGCACCTGATAAGTGCTCCCGTTTTTGCACTCATAGGTCCAATGACCTGGAGCCAAACATTGCTGACCTCGGTGGACGGAAGAATGCGAAGCTCGTGCACGACCTTTCCCTGCACTCCTTCAGCGATGGCCTCCAACCTAATAGCTTCTTGCTCCTAGTAGTAAGGCCAGGAGCGCCGTTCGTAGCGTCCTTGCTCCTCTTTTGTGCACTTACTTCTTCAGTCCAGTTTCAGTCCCGAACATATGATCTTCGCTTTGTTGGCGCCAGCTGCACTTGCACCTGCATGTTAAACTTCTGCCTTGAGCCCCTAGTAACGTCCTTGCTCCTAGTAGCGATGCCAGGAGCCCCTAATAGCTTCTTGTTACTAGTAGTAAGGCCAGGAGCCCCTAGTAGCGTAAGTAAGAGATAGAGTACATTGAGTCTTGAGTTCGAGAACATCTCTTTCCGCTTTGGGTCGGCCAGGCCTAACATCTTGGGCCTCAAAAAGTGCAACTCATACGACACACCATCGCCCCATCGATGTCCTTTTTCGTTTCTCAAAGCGAACTCCTTTTTGTGCTTTGTTTTCTCAAACATCAGCCCAAAGAACACACATCTGCGGGAATTCATTTGCAAATCGGTTTTAATGTGTTTGTTCAATGGTGGGCCTCAATTGGTCTCTCAAATTATTGAATCCATCCTTTGAAGTATAATAAGTGTTAGAACCTTCTTCTCTTCAGGCGGAAAAGAATACATTTGAACGTTGTCAAGAATGAAAAACACAAACACACTTCCACATGACATGAACAAGCTCATTTTCTTGCTTTCTTGAGGCCATCATTAGAAGGGTGGAGGCCATCGCTACTTGTTTTTTCTTGTTTTATTCCGGCTGAGCCACAACTGTCTGCTCTAATCCGCTCAAAAATCATCTGAGCTTGCTGCCCACCACTCCTCTGTCGTGTTGATCTTGAGCCAAAGACCCCGCGAAAAGAGGGGGAAGCACATCTAAAACTAGCAATGGCCTCCACCCAAGCAGAAATGGCCTCCAACCTACTAGCAAGGCATATAAAAAGAGAACAACATGGCACTTGTTACTACTTGCTTCTTGCTACTACTAGTAAGGCACTTGTTACTAGAAGCGTGGCACTTGTTACTACTTGCTTCTTGCTACTACTAGTAAGGCACTTGTTACTAGAAGCGTGGCACTTGTTACTA